GGAGGCGCGGGGCTCCCGGGTCCAGGCGACCCCGCTGCAGCCCCTGGACGCAACAGCGCCGCCTACGGAGCAGGGGAGGAGCGGCGGGCGCGACCCCGCCCCCTGCTCGGCCCTGGGGGAGGGGGGAGCGGGGGCGGGGCCCGAGCGTTGTCATTGGTCCGCAGCAGGGCTGTCCCGCCCACGGACTCTGCAGGATCCCTCCCAGAAGCGCATCAGCGGGTTATTGTTACAACCCGGGGTTTCCCGGGGCAACGGGGATGGGGCGGGGCTCAGAGCACTTGGCCCCGCCTTCTACTCTTGGGAGGAGTGCCCCGCCCCCTGTTTCTAGACCCTTGGCGTTTCCGTCTTGGAAACCTGGTGGGGCGGATGATCGAGCTGTCCTTTGTGCCCCAGACTGGGCTGGGGAAGGGGAAAGAGTCAAGAATACCCGGCTTCGGGGCCAGGCTTTGCAAAAATTCTAGCTTCTCCATCTGCAAATGGGTTCTTCGTGGGCTCTTAGGGTGCTTGTGAACATAGTTTTAGAGCCTCTGTTCTCAAAGTTTGACGTGTAGCAGAATCAACCTGGAGAGCTTGTTAAACATGTTGCTGGGCCCCAGAGCAGTAAGTCTGCATTTCTAATAAGTTCCCAGGTGATGCACCCGGGACCACACTTTGCAAACCACTGTTCTAAAGTCCGTGGGAGGCTCTTGCAGGGGCTGTTGGAACAAGCGCTGGCCCTAAAGTTCATCCTGTTTGGAGAGAAGCTTCTCGTTCATTTAAGAGGCGTTTATTGAGCACCTTTGATGCACCAGGCACTGTTCGGGCCACTATGGGGAGAGCGGTGACAGACAGATGAGGTCCCTACTGTATAGGCTAGTGGAGGAAGCAGATGTTAATCATATTAATGGCCTCAGAAGGGAGAGGCTGGCTGAGAAGTTGGGCAGCCCATGACCTCATCCCACAGAGCCCTAGGCTAGGTTTCCAGCTACCGCTCCACCTGCCAGTCTTTGCTCAGGGTATCTCCCCTCTGCCTAGAATACCCTTTCCCCTCCTCAAGGCCCTCATCAGAGATTCTCCCATTCCTCAAAGCTCAGCTCAAATGTTGACTCATCCCTGACACTTTCTCTAACCCCAGCTCTCAACACTTGTCTCTGTTCCTTGCTTGCCCACGCCACTTGCTGCTCTACCAGCAACACCTTATGTCCCTTGGCCACAATAGTTCTCTTTTGCCAATTGGGAAACTGAGGCCCAGAGTGGGGAGGTACTTGCCCAGATGTAATGGCCAGGACTAGATCCCAAGCTCACCAGCCAGTACCACACTCCTGGGGAGGCTGGAGACTGCAACTTGCAGAGTTCTCTGAGCAGTGGAAGGGGCTGGGCCCGGGCCATGGGAGACAGCCCTTTCAAAAATTCCTTCCTTCCAGCTTAGGTCCCGAGGAGTAGGGCCAAAGGTGAGGGTTGGAGTGGGGCTAGACGGGCCTCTCCTCACCCCCCAGGGTGGGAGCAGGCCCAGCTTGCAAATGCCTGGCATGGCATCTGCCTGAGTCACATCCCAAAGGCAAGGGTGGGCAAAGGAACCGTTGGCTGCCCCCCACTCTGCACACATACACACACCCTCCAGGTGGTTCTGTTTAAAGTCACAAGGGGCCTGAAATCACTGCTGGACCCCCTCCCATGGTTCTCATATGCCATCCCTGCCTGGGGAGCCCCCACTGGGGGCCGCCCCCTTAGGTACCTTGGAGGCCGGGCAGGCTTCCTGCCAGTCTTCAGCCCTGGCCCAGCCTGCTCTGTGAGACTGGGGCTTGCTGGGGGCCATACCAGAGCCAGGAGGATCCTTAGCTGGGGGCCCTGGCACAGGCTGCCACTGTGGGGCTGGGAAGCCAGGTTGGCAGAGACACCCCAGAGGCTGACTCAGGCTCTGCTCAGGACTCTGCCCTGCCCCAGTGTCCACAGCTGCTGCCTGGACTCTCCTCTGGGACTCATGTCTGGCACACTCAGACCCCCGCCCTCCCTCCCCCAAACTCACACCTACCACGCACACTGACACTCATTCTTTACTAACAACTTGGCCTCTGCTCACACATTCATTATGAGGCAGTATAACATAGTGATTAAGAGTATGGGCTAGTTAATTAAATGCTCAAAGCCACTATTTCCTAATCTATAAGTGAGTATCATCAGAGCACTAACTTCCTAGGATATTTGAAGAATTCAATAAGATCACGAATGTCAACAGAGGCTTGGAGGAAGTGCTCCATCAATGCTAGCCGTTTTTATTACTATTGATGTTGATGATCCTACATATCTCTCCTTCATACTTGTCCCAACCCACACTGTCCCACCTGCTCTCTCCATGCACACACTCACGTCCACTCACACGCACTGGCTCCCTCACATGCGTACACTTGCATATATCCCTTTTACTTACATTTACAATTGCACAGACCTACACCTTCTTATGTTCCCTTGGCCCCATGTCTCCTAGGTCCCTTCCCCTCCCCCACGCTTGCTCTCAAGCTCCCATTTACCCTCCCTACCACTCCCACATTCATTCCTGCTCACAAACAAGCCCCCACTTGCTTACCCTTGCATTCCTCCCCCTTCCACACACAGGCGTGTTTGCTTCTGCTCACACCTTCCCATGCACTTAGACGCGCTCGCATTCCAGTGCACGCACACTCACTTGCTCACTCACTTACACACGTGTGCTTTCCTCATTCAACTCGTACTTGGATCACAAAACTTGTACACGTACACCCAAACAATCCCAGTACGTGCCTCAGTACCTCAATGGTCCGTCCCCTCCCAATGAAGAGCACGCACTACACAGCTCTCCCAAGGCACACAGCCCTTGGCAGACACCCTCCCTGGTCACAGTGACACTCCCCTCACCCTCACAGGACTGTCTCCTGCCCGGCTGCTTCCTCTCCTCCAGTGTCAGCTCTCCAGCCCCTCCCAGCTCTCAGAATAGCCCTTGCCGCTGAGGCCACTGCCACCTCCGCTGCTGCCACTGCTGAGCTGTCAGGGCCCGCCAGAGCCCGCTTCCCCAGCGCTCGGTGCCAGCTGTCCCGACTCTCTCAGGGCAAGTGAGGACAGGAGGACGGGCTTCTCGGAGGTCTGATGGGCATAGCTGCTCTGCACCCCCAAGAATCCCCTTCCAGAGCCCGCTTAGAAGAAAGTCAGCTCTCAAGGGAGTCCACTGCCACTTGCCCAGCATTTTCCCAGTCCCCAAAGGGCTTTGTCTGTGTCCGGTTGAAGGCACAGAGGGCTGTCTCCCTTCATGACTCAGAGAAACCAAGGTCTGGGGAGGCAGAGATTTGCTCAAAGCAGCACAGTGAGTTGGGAGCAGAGCCAGACCAGGGCCAGCCATTCCTAGCCCCTCATGGGTGGCTCGGAGGACCCTCCTCTAAACCACACGGTTATCAAGAACCATCCCTCTGCCCCCACCTGAGGTGCTGAGCAGAGCCTTGTTGACGTTTGATGCCACAGTTGTCAGGAAAAAAGAATAGCACAGGGGGTGATGTCGGGGATGCCTCTAGGGGGGATGGGCTGGTGCCCAGACGAGGCCTCCAGGGGTGGAAAGGGGGAGCATCTGCAGAAACCAGAGGGGACATCAGGACAGCTGGGAGAGCCTCCAGGGCAGGCTCAGGCCTGGCCCAGGGACAGTGTCAGGGAGTGGGTGGGGCTGAGCTGGGGCTGTGTAGCTTAGGGGGACAGTGCAGCAGAGGAGGGCCCTCATGACAAGACCCAGGGCTCCTTCTGCTGCCTCCACAGTCCATGCCTGGGGCAGAGAGTTCTGTGGCTTTGAGGAAGCAGCTTGGACCAGCGACTGCTGGCGCCCAGGCCAAAAGGACCTTGTGTCCTCCTGGGCCAAGGGGCTAAGCCACCACGGACAGTGGTAGAGAATTAGCATTGAAGGGAGCTCCTCTTATAGGACAAGCCCGTGACGCATACCATCCCATTCAATCCTATATTCTTATCCCCATATGTTTATTGAGTACTTACTAAGTGTCAGTCCCTGCAGAGCACCTGGCAGGCATTATCCAGAAGAATCTGGCTCCTTGGGAGCAAGAACTTCACCCATCTTGTCCACTGCTGTGTCCCCAGGACCTAGAGCACAGAGACCTTCAATAAGTCTGTGTTGAATGACAGAGTGAACTCGTTTCATTCTCACAAACACTTGAGAGGCAGATCCTATCATTCCCATTTCCTGGATGAGGAAAGTGAGGCTTGGAGAAGGGAAGTGAGTTGCCTACCTCCTTAGGTCTCAAACTGGAGTCTGGGTTTGCTTATTGCACGGCACCTAGAGGCAGGGGGAAATGAGCTTAGGGGCAAATCGCTTCCGTTCTCTGAACCTCAGTTTCTTTATCTGTGAAATGAGAATGGCTATATTTACCTGTGGGGGATGATGGAGATCACAGGTGTAGGTGCCCAGCACAGAGCAAATGTCAGGCCGATGTATATTCCCTTCATCCTTCTCCACCTTGGCTTTGCCCTGATATTCTAAACTTCAACGCAACCACCCCTCAGATCCATGATGCCTGTAAGTCACCCCTCTTTCTGTACTACAGGAAGGAGGTGCATTAGTTTGCTAGGGCTGCTGTAACAAAGTACCAAAGTGGCTTAAGACAACAGAAATTTATTGTCACACAGTTCTAGAGGCTAGGAGTCCGAAATCAAGGTGTTGACAGGGCCATGCTGTCTCGAGGGCTCTAGGGGAGAATCCTGCCTTGCCTCTTCTAGCT